GTTGCTTAACAAAATATGACAAAACTTTATGTTCAAGGAGCTTAATAAGTGCTGAACATTTTGTAATACCCGTTCACGGCTAAAAAAGTTGGAGCGGATTAAACTTGGTCCGAATTTTAAAGTAAATTAATAATTAATTGTTCTCTTAACATCATTACGAAAGCCAGGGGACATTTCGGTTTTTTTTTTCGATGAAGACACGCCAGTTACATAATAGAAGTCCCACGTTCAACTAGGGCATTCGGAAAATGACATAAATAAAATAAAAAACTTCGTTCTGATCGCTATTTTTAAAGGCAATCACGTGGGCACGCGCGCCTTTTTTATCGACAACGCCGGTATTTCCTCCTGATGCGTCTCCTAGGATTTGCAAAGACCTTGAGAAAACCCAATAAGAAAATAAAATTTGCTTTCATATTGTGCCGCGACGTGAATCGGAATTGCTAAAAACAGGTCGGTATGTTCGTTAAATTTTATAATAAATCCCACATAAAGATGGTGCATTTTTGTATGATGATCACACTCTTCCCGGAATATATTCCTGCCTTATTTAATTTCTGATCTATTATGCACATTTCGCGATGTTTGTTAAAATATTAGTGGTGTGGCGAATGATTTTTAAGTAGAAAGAATTAAATAAATTAATCTTTATATACGTTAGTTTTGCAATCAATTAAGATTGGGCTGTGGATGCCTTTTTATAATGAAACGAACAACGCGTAGGAGGTCAACAAAACGAAATTTCAACAATTAGACCAGCAACACTTTAAACATAATGAATCGGGTTACAACAAAGATATCGACTTTAAGGAGTTATATTGAATGTAATACAAACAGGCCAATAAGTTTTATATCACTAAGTTCTCTCGGGGGAGCCTGTGGAGCCCTATAGAGCGCGTCCCCTTGGTGGCGAATAGGGGAATGTCTAAACCGGTCGACACCTCGGACCAGATCGGTGGCTAGGTGGAAAATAAAATACCTCCCGTGAATCAACAGGTAGCGCAAATTTTGCTATTGAGAAAGAAAGCAAGTTATCTCAGAGACATTCCGAAAATAGCCCACATGCTAAAAAACCTCAACTTCAGCCTGGGAATTGAATGGATTGAAGTAAACGGAAAAAACTATGAAATCTGAAAATGAATTTTGCAATCAGGGTCTTTCAAAAAAAACGAACCACGTCATAACAGTATATAATGCAACAAGTGTGATAATAGTATATTATGTTACACTCGTGGTAATAGTATATTATGCTGCAATCGTGGTAATAGTATATTATGCTACAACTGTGGTAATAGTATACTATGCTACAACGATCGTTAGTTGTTCGGTATATTTTTGAAAAACAGCACGAATGCATTCACCGACATAACAGTCAGAATTAACAAACGTCAAAATTCGAGTCGTGGGAAATGTCTCCGAAAATATGCAATTGTTCTCAAACCCGTGTGGTAATATAACGGAAATGTCCGAAGTGTTTCGGATACGTGGGAAACGAAACTAACGTGGTAAACTAAACATACTAAAACTGAGAATGGAGGTGATCACAAAAACAAAAAAGAAATGCCATTGACCAGACAACATAGGCAGATATGATCACTTTTATAGCGGAGTTTCTAAGGTGCACCGAGGTCAACAAGGAATATTTCCATTAATCCATTAATAGAGGTTAATCAAGTCTTGTGGTCTCAATGGTGTGGTGAATTTACTTGTTTTTTATATCCAGGTGCATTTGTTAATTATTTTGTGGAGAAAAAAGCCATTTAATATTTTTTTCTACTCCCGTCTGTAAAATACCTAAAACACACCGATCTAACGTATGGGAAGTACCACTTTACCACGTCAGTTTCGCTTTGAATTTTGACGTTTGTCAATTCTGACAGTCATGTCAGTGAATGTATTCGTGTTGTTTTGCGAAAATGTACCCAAAAACTAACGGTCGTGGAAAAAGTATAGTATGCAACACGTTCGGTAAGTCACTCGTTTATTAAATACTAGCTCCGCTGTGCTCCGCTCGTGCCAAATAAATTCGTGAGTTAAATGCACTTGTTGCATAATATACTATTTTCTACTCCCTTCTGTAAAATATCTAATTATATGACGATATAGCGTACGGAATAGTATGGTAACATGCGTGGTAAGAGGCACTTGAGTCACGAGTGCTTAATAAACTAGACTTTTTAAGGTACTCGTTTATTAAACACTAGCTCCGCACGTGGCAGATAAACTAGGGACTCTAATGTCGTCTATCACACTTGTTGCATAATATACTACTATCCTAGGAGTCACAATTACACAAGATGATACATGGGAGAGGAAAATTAGAAACATAAATGGACTAGGCAGAAAATAATGGGCTTGTTAAGAGCTTCATAACATATGGATCAGAAGAATGGCCAATTAAAGAAAGTACGGAGAAAATCCCTTGAGCAACGAAAATGAATTTCTGGAGGCGATTACTCGAAATTTCTAGAAAAGAGAGAATAATCAATGAAGGAGTTAATGAAATTATGGGTACCACACACACAAAGACGTCCGTAACACCAGCAGATCACGAAAGAGGTGGTAAGAAGTGGTACACCGAGAAAGAGTGCTCTAGGAAGACCTATCGAGGAAATCGTGTAAGAAAGTTATAAACCGATCTGTATATGTATACAGGGTGTCTCGCTTAAGAGCTGTACACCCTTGTAAAACCTTTGTTTATGGTTCGAATTTTATAATTCAACCTCTAAAGACATGGCCAACTGGAACTATTTCACAAAAGGGAGAGAAGCATATTTTTTAAAGAATAAATAGGCAAAGAATTCTTATTCAGGGGTACTTAGAATCCAACTATACCAATTTCTAATATGTTTCAATAAAGGGTGCGCCCCGTTTAAAGTTGCATATCCTAGTAAAATCTTTATTTGCGGTTTGAGTTTGGTCCTTTTTAAGTGCAATTTTTTAAAAACTAATAGTTTAATAGTTACCACCAGGTATATCGATTTTTTATATGGGACACCTTGTATATTTTTGAATAGTCAAGTGAAACGCGGCATTCGATTAAATTTTTATAGGAACCTCTGTGTGTGGTCTGTATGTGCTTTTTCCACATAGCTATTAGATAATATAGTCGCCCTACTATGGTAAAAAGTGGTGACTCTAATATTTTCCTAGAGAAGGAATTGATTTTTCTCGTTTCACTCACTAATCTGTACTTTGCGCAATTTTCTTTCTAAACAGCGATATGCACACACTTATCCCTTTTTTGTCGGAAGATATAATGAGATCTTGATATATTTTGAGAAAACACTGACGTAAAAATGCCGCTTCCAAACTCAGCGGCCATGTCGCTTGTTGAATGCCGCAAGGTCATCTCGAGCATGCGCATGTTGAATGGACCTTCTAAAAATCTCGTTCATAGTTGCTTCATAAGTTCCTGTATTATCGGCATTTGGCCTATCTCTAGTAGCTGTATGGCTTATTTTAAAGTTCATCTATCAGTTTCTGCCAATCTGTAACTGATTTTTTCTTTTCAAACTGACTACTAATAATGTTTAAATTGTTTTTAAAAGATTGTCTTCTCTCTTGATATATTCTCTCTTGATATATTCTCTCCGGATTGTGTGAAACAAAATATCATATGCCATTTTTCAAAATTTTCAAATATCATTTTCTGCCGATCTTAATAGCCAAATTAACAATTTGACAACTATCCAGTGAACATGTCTTTCCTGTATCATGACAGCGTCATCCAAAGCCTCCTTTTTTTATAAATGTAATTTTAAGTTTCTTCAAGGAACTATTAAACTGTTAGTTAATTAAACTATACTTAAACTATTAAATTGCAAGCTGTTTTTGGAAATGTTTTTATAGAAATAAAAAAAATTCCGGAGCATACATAGTATAAATTTTTGCTAAACACGCTGTAACTATAAAACGGGAACAGATATTTATATGCGGTGCTCATCATTATATTTTTTTATGAAAATTGAATGCTCCATCTGCTTTCCAAAGGGTACTTCTTTTAAAAGTGTCCTATTTGGCCTCCCCTGAACAGTATTGGTTTAAAATTAAAAATAACCGAATTATTACCAAGCCTCCGTCTAATTTTGGATTTTAGAAATTAAAATGCAATTTTTTCTGATTCTGTTTTCTTTAGATCGATAAATTTTGAAATGTTTATTTTGAAATTAATTTAGAGGAATAGGACTATTTCATATTTCAAAACGTTCAAATCATTAACTCTTTAGCATAAATAAATTGACATTTTATTTCCCCATGCGTAATAACAGACATTGACAACATGAGCGCAGCCTCCTTGATCCGCGGAGCTAGACACAATATACGCGACAATAATCTTCGATTTTGTTAAAATCAGCAAATCTTTATAGCTAAATCTAAGTCTAAGCCTTTAATACAATACAAAATTAAAAGTCTCAATTCAGATAATATTTAATTACAAGACATTTAATGAAGAAATTTTAACAAAATTTCATAGAAAGTAATAAGATACCAATATCAAATCTAAAAAATATAAAAATATCGAAAAATAAATAGTTCGTTGTTAAACAAAAAATTAGATATAATAATTATTAATCGAAAATATAGAAATAATTGAAGCACCAACTTAAACGGTTGATATTCCAAATATTAATTTTGTCCCAATGTACGTCGTCCAGTTTTCTCGAATTTTCTGGTTCTATCACTTCTAAAATATCGGGAAATTATAGGGCGGCGTAACGAGTTCACGTGTCAGATACCCAAGCGTTCTAAATATTTAACGAACAATAAATCCAAAAATCTATCTTTTTTAGTATCGTTAGGTATTTAATTTACGCAAATGAATTCACTGCCGTCGAAAGTCATAAATTAAAGAGTTTAAATTAGAGAACATTGTCACTAAAGTTATCTGGACAGCTTAATGCTTTAGTTAGTTAATACTTCGCGGGGAATATTAAAATTCCTGTTTTATTTCAAATAAAGTTTGAGTCAAACTACATATTAGTCAGCTCGCGACTTACCGAAATTGATCTCGCCCGTTTAAAGTTTCCTGTTTTATCGACAATATCACCGGCCCTAAGTCTTCGTCGTTTGTAAAGTAGTTCCAGTGTTCGGTTCCATAAAAATATTTCTCATAAGTTTCCTGTTCCACACTCGTGAGTTCAAAACCCTGATTCTTCTCCCACTGTTCTTCAATTGTAGTCTTTTTTCTGGGCGATGAACTGTCATCTTCTTCGTCGTCTTCGTATAAGTCATTGCAACCTAGAAAATTAATATTCATATTGGTAAAATGGTGCACTGTAGACAATTTTCAGTTTTATCATTAGCTTCAAGAATTTTAAAGTTTGTTTACATCTAGGTTTTAGGAAGATTCACAATAAATTTGTCTCTTCAATACTTTTAAAGGGAAACTTCTCCTTCTAAAGGAGACGAAAACTAATCTCCGTGTTTGAAGCTCGATTTTTATGAAAAAAATGTAACTTTTTGTTATGGAAAATTTTCCTAAATATTAGATTTTACCAAACAAACTTAATAGTTATCAACAGCAAAATCCTTTTTTGATATGAGGCACCCTACATATTTTTGATTCATTGAGAAGAACTTCAAATTCCCTTTCCTAAAATATCCAAATTTGATATTTTGCTATAGTTCTATTCAAAAGCCAAAAGAGATAACAAGTAGGCTTTGAACGGCATGCATAATGCGGGAAACAAATACGTTCTGGTAGTTGTCAAATTGTGAACTTGGTTTTTAAAACGTGGGTTTATTTGATAACAGCCGAGAAAAAGGCAGAGACATCAAGGAATTAGTATTAGGTCGAATATCCTGAGAGAAAAGAATATCTTAAAGACATTTTCGGAAGACTGTGATACAACCTAATTAATAGCAGTTAATTTGAGAAACAAACGGGCAAAAGACATTAACATTATAGTTTTACGAGCCGTTAATAATAATCGCACAACATCAGGCAAGAGAGTTAAAGACACCAACAGAATGAGCTGGAACTTGGAAAAAGTGCATAGAACCAGAGGTCACTGGAAAAATCTGACTGAATCAATAAAATTCTAAAACCTTTACCAACCAAAACCACAATTTGTCAACTACTAGAACGCATTTGTTTCCTATATTAGTCTGTCGTCAGTTAATAAAAGAAATTCCTAACATCTCAGAATTTTTGAGGTTTATTTAAAAGTGAAAGGTTTCCAGAATTATAAATCTTATCGCAAAATCTGACAACTTTGCTGTTCGTATTTTAGAATTTTGAATGTTGAACCCTAGGTAAAAAAATAATTTTTATTGTTCCAGCTTGGGGCAGTTTTGCAGATATTTAGGCGTTCCGGCGTTACCGTAGCTCAGTAATTTATGGAAACAAAATTTTAAAATTATAAGACCTTACTAAATTGATTGCAATAAAAATAACTGGGGCCTTTCATTTAAAATAACAACATTCAAACCTTCATAAAAAACGGCACCAGAGATCCATGTGATGTTTCTTACCTTTCTAAAATGTCAAATTCGGCCCACCCTGTACAATTGCCATTTTTGTAAAAAATATACTTTTGTAATAAAATATAAATATTTTCATTAAAATTGCATGGCGATGGTAACGATTTGCGCACCTACCATTTATCATTGGCACAAATAATTGCAGTTTTCGGTCTTGCATTCGTTATAAAGGCTAATAGGCAGTTATTTCATATTAATTTGACCTCCCCAGTCTCTAATTATTCGCTACATTGATTATAAAGTAACAATCACTTTGAACTTTCACGTGTCAAAAAAGTAAGCGCTAGTTTATTTTTCATTTTATCGCTACTACTTTTTAGACCCTGCAGAAGGACTTTGATGTTCGCGTAGATGAATCGACATTCAAAAACGTAGGTACATATTTACATGCACACTCAAGTGACGTTCTTCAGCATACACACTACCGTTTTTTCATGTACTCGTACGATTTTGAATGTGCATTCATCAACGCGGATAGGCATAAGCCACATGATAAGCAATTACGATCACTAAACGTTTCCAAAACTGTTTCACAAGGACGCAATCAGTGGTCTATAGAGGTGTTATAAATAACAAATATATTTTTTTTTATATGCCAAAATGTTATTGTATTTCAATATTCTAAGATAAATAAATAAAACAAATAATAATATTACCAACTTTTATAATCTCTTTATCATATCGTTCCTAACTTATGGATTGTTTTTTTAAATTTTAATACTTCCTATTAACTTGTAAGATTTAGCTCATTAAATAAAGTAAATACTGACTTTCGCTCTTTTGTTACTAACTGTTAATTGGCAGTTCATTTCAGCATTCGATCATAGTTCAATAATTTTATCGCTGCCCGCGTTATCCTTATTACAATCTCTTTAATTATGCTTATGCTAACTAGTTGATGATGAATTAATAATTTATCATAAAATTAAATAAAAATATCAATCAGTTTATCAATTGTCTTGATTAAATATAAACATTTGTATTAGCTGGCAAATCTGAAATCGCCGCGTCATCATATCAATATGATGATTTTCATATCACGAATTTGTATCATTTTATACTGGACACGCTGTACTTAGGTACTTAATTTGGCAGTAATTAATTTTTGGTAAATTTTTTGCACGTAAATGAAAATTCTATGATTTTTAATAAATATTCATGATCTTTTATTTTCCATATCAAGATTTATTAGCAACAATGATAGTGCCCAGACCATGCCGACTTCATTCTTGTCTAATCGAACTCAGCAATTCCTCATTATAGAAATGCGTTCAACACTTAAAGTTGTCTGCTATAGTTCTTCGAAATGATATTCAAGTTGAAAAGAGAAAAAAAGTTACTTATAAGCTTACGGGAGCCTATGGTATATTAAACTCCCATACACAAAATTACTTATCACGAGAAACCAAAGACTCTCAATTCCCAATTATTTCAATTAAATCTCAATTAAATCAATGCTGTGCAGTCTTTGTCAGTGAATAAAAAACGTGGACAATACATTCAAAACTCACGCTTGAGGTTAATTTACATAGTGTATCTTTTTATTAAAGTTTCGCTTAGAGTGAGTGTCCCTGGTATAAATTTACGACACAAAGGTCTACTTACGGTACTGCAGCACAGAAAGCAACTTTATTATAGATCTTACTCTTATAATTTTGTCCGTTTGATTAACTCACTGAATTTGTGCCAGTTTCGATAACGTCTGACTAATACGGATCTTGCTCCAGTCTCAGTAATTTTGGATTTTCTTTTATTTCAGATCAAACAAAACACTCATATTTATTAATGCTTTTGCTACCTGCTACCCCTACCCCTTTCCTTTCCTCTTTTTTATTTTGAAATATATGTTAACTTACTTTGGCCATCTGTTTCAAAAATTACAATTATTGAGGGCCAAGTAGTTTCTGGGAATTATGGGATTATTTTTTTTTAATGTAATGTCCTTTAGGCCTTTAGCCTATTGTTATCATGATTAGAGGTCAGTACTGATATATTTGAAACAATTTTCATAAACCAACGTTCGCATAGCAACAGATTTCTTATGAGAAATTTATACAGGTCAAGACGCGACCGCATTTGTGTTACAAAAATAGATTATCGACTGTAATCAATGTCACCAGGAATTGGGATTATTTTGTTGGTATACAGCGATAATTTAACAATATTTAGTAATTGCAATATATAATACAATAATGAAATTTCACTCACATCCATAAAATATTCTAAATTAAAATCTAAACCCAGCAAAAGAAAATTTATTTATAATTTTCTTATCTATATTTATACCCCGTTTTTTCCATATTCTCAAAGTATCCACTTTCGCATATCGATTTATAACGCTTTTTAATCAACCATTTTTGCAAAAAACTAACGTTATACGCTAAATTTACACTACCAGGCAACCAAATTAGTTACAGATCTAATAAGATACGAAATTAGTATATTTATTTCGTTTTTCATGAGCCGTTTAAAAAAATATATCCGATTTGATCGACTAATAATAATGTTTCGTACGAAGGTCCAACTATTTCTTTTTCTGACATATTTTTGCAATATGAATATGTGACAAATAATATTTACAAGTTTTGGTTTAAATAAATAAAAATACAGAACAGAAATACAATATTCTTGCTCCATCCCGCTTGGGACTTGGCTTTTAAATGTTTATTGCGCAATTAGAGTAGAATGAAAGCAGGTATTATTCAAATTTATTGTTAAGCAACAAAGTTTTAACGGTCGATTTGGGTGAATAAGCGGTATGGTCTGTTTATATATATAAGAAAGTGACCAATTGCTTTTGAATGGGACAAGATTATTACCTATAGTTTCGGAATTTAAATTCAGGTAAAATTGTGGTCTGTAATAGAAAATAATTTTAAACCTGTGTTTATTCTTTGGTTTGGTATACTACTTACTTTAAGTTTATTAGTAATCATCCTTATTTCGTGTGTAATACAGCATGTGTTGAATCGTGTGCGAATTATACAAAATATGTGCGAGTCTAGTGTATATCAGGACATACTCCCGCCCAAATGTAGAAAACACTATTCTATTGAGACTAAGGAAGTTATAAACAATGTTTATTTGACTTTCATTGAACGTGTTGCCAGCAAGCAAGCGTCTTTAGAAGAAACGGCCACATTGACGAAAATTCTAACATCAGCTTTATGGAAAAATTAGGATTTACAGAGAACAACAAGGGCCAATTATTTACTTGGATTTACTTGGAAAAGGGTTGGGTTGACTCTACTGATAAGTGTAAAACAAGCGTGCCATCAGAAAGAGGTAAAAGAATAACTTTTTTGCATGCTGTTTGGCACCAACGCCATTCGTCGTAACAATGTTTTTCCCCGTGTTAACTCCAATGTCCTCAAACTTATAGAAACCGAAGTTTTTAACATCCCTCCACGAAGTTGGGCAAATTCTGTTAAACATATAGAAAAAGCAGAACAATCGTATATCCATATTGCAAATAATATAGAACAAATAACAATTAGAACAGGTGATGATAGCGATAGTGATACTGATATGTTATGTGAATTATTTTAAGTAATTTAAGTAGGTAATTAAAATAATTTGTAATTTTATTTTAGATTTAAACATAAATACATAAATAAATAAATATCTATAAATATAATAATATAAATAGTATCTTTCCTAACAAAACTCCAAATAATTAAATTCTAAACAAAGTACAGATCTGTTCGGCCATATTTCGTTGTTACAGCTTGCCCGGGTCTTTCCTTAATTCGTTTCAGTTAGTCACTTTCTTATATCTATGAACAGACTTTACTTACTGCGATCTCTTCTTTTGATACCGTGATGTCCATTTTCTTGGTCGGTGCCGTCAGGAGTTCCGTCTTCGTTCGCTTCCTGAATTTCGTTTTCGTGGTCCGATTCGCTTTCGTCCCATATCGTATCCGAAGTAATTTTTTGCCTGGAACATTCGATCCAATATCCAGGCGTCGGGATAAAATTGTGCGGGAATTCTTCGCAAAATTCATCTGAAAATTGAAAGAATTATTCTAATATCGGCGTGTTTTGAATTGTATGCGCTGCACATTTCTGTCATGCGAGCTCATTGGTAGATACTCCGTTTTACGCGCTTTAAATAAACATTTGGACACTTTTTTTTACATTGATAAAATAAAATGATCTTGATATTTATTTATTTAATTTATTTATTTGTTTAATTACAAACTCAACAGAATTACCTCCATTTAGACACAGTGGGAACAACCTAAGAATACAATTTAATAATAAATTCCATATTGCAAAGAGTTTAGATTTAAGCTTACTAACGGAGCGGATTTGACTATTGTTGAACTACTATAATTGTTAGTACGTAGATCTATCGGCGAAGTTCGTGGTATATACGCTGGAGCATGAATATTAATTTGATTCAATAATTTGGGAAAATTAATCATATTATGTAACAGTTTGAATGAAAAAATTACGACACAGTTCTTCTATTTAGTAGAGAATGATTCCAAATGTCTGCTTTTGGAACACAACAGTTTCACGGTAATAAAAATATCTCAGAAATTTCACTGTTATACTTATGGGTTTCATAATAAGGACTTCATATATATATTTTTGAATATAATATATTCAAAATACGACAAATGATGTTTTAAGATTTATTAAATTAAAATCTTTACAGTTTCTTATGGGAAAAAGATGCTCTACCTATATTATCATTTATATGTGACCTGAAAGATAACTGAGTACCATGATCCGTATCTTCGCAACTTTAGCCAACACTGTACCCCTAATTTTATACTGAAATTGTACTTGTTTCTTCTTTCTACTGAAGCTAGGCACAAAACATTTACATCAACAGTACAACATCAGTATTAAAATATAATTATTTTTTTATAGTAGGGCTTGTAGCTTTAGACAGTCAACGTAATTTTTAGTTATATATAATAATAAGATTTTAGATCCGCATATAAAAGTACATTCAAATCACAAACTAAAGCAACCAAATCATTAACAAACAAAAGAAAAAGCAATGGATCAAGATTGGAAGCCTGCGGAACGACTGAGATTGCATAGTAATCAAGGTAACCTTTTATAACAAATTCGTTGTTCGTATGTAAATATGATTTAAAATTTTAACCAGGCTATTCTGAAAATCAAAATTGCCCAATAATTTTTGCTGAAGGACATTATTTGATACATTGTCAAACGCTGCTGCTGCAGCTGCTATTTATTTGCCATTACTATACTCAACATCATTGAAATACATCACGCCTGGGACACCAATTGTTCTTTTTTACCCCTAACATAGCTCACATGTAGTAAAGTAAGTAAACTTCCTGTGCTTTTTTATATCCTATTTTATTTTGGTTCTTAGTTGAATGAATTGATTTTTTATTTCTTATTATACATTATTAGTTTTCTGATTTCTCATTGTTAATCTCCCGTTGGTTTTTATGTCTTTAATTATTTGTTTAGTGAAATAAACATAGACATATACATAAAGACAAAATTAGCTTAGAAATAGCTTAGCCTCCAGTAGCTAACAAAACATCACCGCCGCACTTTATTCTCTATATTTCGACATTTTAAAATGGTAAAAGGGTTTGGAAAGTGGACATTATTTGATAATCATGTTTCACTTACCGCTATTCATTTTCTGATAGCATCTCTATATGAAAAACTATATTGTTTTACTATTGAGACGATGTATATTCTGCCAGACAATAGCAAACGTTAATCCTTCCTTTCTCCTTAAAATGTATCTGTAGTTGGTGTCTTTGTTTCTTGAGCCTTTGCATGTATAACGGATAGGATCGATTTCGGGCAGACCGATTTCGGACAGGTAAGCTGAACTTTTTACAGTTAGGACATTCTAAGGTATTATAAGTACACTGCACAATTCCACATTTGTGACAACAATTGCTACCCACTCAACAAACAGTGCTTATAATAGAGTCCAATCAACCATTTCAACAGGGATGTTGAAATTTGAAAAATCCAATTTTCTTTGGTCTTGTTTCGTAGCTGATCCCGCACATTTTCTCCAGAAGTACGTAATATTTTAGGATTGTCCATATTACGTTCTTCCACCAATGATCTAGGTGTATGTTCTTTAAAAATACCTGCATTACAATTGGCTACGAGGTGCCAATATGTTTCACTTCCATGTTTTTATTGCAAGTCTTTTATTTGATTGGTCTTCTTGATTATGATTATGATATTCTATTAAAACACTTCCACTAGGTAAGGGCTTCACTCCCCTAAAATTATTTGTCATATCGGAGGATTTAAGGTTTTCCTTTAATTTTTATAGGATTATTCTGGAGTTTTCTGTCTCTCTCTCTCTCAAGCGCATTAAGTTTTTCGTTTAAGAGGCATTCCATGGTGTTTGAACTAGTCCATTCCAATACAAGTACATTTTTAATAGAACCTGAACTACATTCTATATTGGCCTTTTTCATTTTCTGTCCATGAAGTATTTGAGCTGGATCTTTGCCTTTATTGAGAGGACATATTAAAGGATTCTTTAAAAACTCCTTAAAATTTTCAAGATAACGCTCGCCTCTCTAACAATATCCGTGCGAAAAAAATTCGTCTGAGAACTAGGATCTCCGCTGTTAACCCATATATTCTTAGAATTATCATTTTGTTGCTTAGAATCACTCTGGTTTGAGTTTTTTAACATTTAACATTTAGCTTTGTTTCTTATCTGATCTATCTTTACCTTATTCTTTTCTTTACTTTATTTTTTAAGGGACGTTTTTTTCGTTCGACGTTTTTTTCGCTGGTTGAACTCCTACTGGAATCCTGCAGACGTTTCGCCAAGATCTCACTTCAATGCTCGCGCTTCAAAAACAATTCGAATCAATACGTAAAAAAAAAAGAAAAGAAAAAGTCAATAACTAGTTCCTGTCAGTTTTTATTGTTCGTTGTTAATATTTATTCTTTTGTTCAATAATTATACTATACTGAAATGTAGGGAAGAAGATCACTACGTCATAATGATGACACCAGCAAATGCCATAATAACGCGCTGAGTATCATTGCTAACGTAATCGTCCTCTTTCTTGAATACCCTATCGATACATGGAAAACTTCCGTCATAAATTAAGATATTTTATACTTACTGAATGATATGTGACGTGACCATCAGAACTAACAAATGTAAAATGTTTAAAATCAACCGGATAGCTCATATTGCTGCCAAACCAGTGACTAAAGTACCGTAAACGCCCGAAGTGGAACGTATTGAACTAATCCTTACGTATGCGTGATCAGGGCATAATTGGCTATTTTAGAGTAGTAGTAGAAAAAAATTATTAGAAGCATAGGATAAAACATAATCATATAAAAAATAAGAAAACAAATAAAACAATTTAATTTGTATGTATCTAATACAGGTTATGGTCTACTCGAAACAATATAAGACGTGTTTTTCTACCAGTTTTTTTTTATTTATGATTGGGTTTATATATTTTTTTTGTTTACGTAATAATCATTTTGTTACAACGTTGCGCAATGTTAAAATGTCACTTTAGAATTAAAATTGAGGTATTCCCAATATATATAATATTTTGTTTTGTATCTTATAATCATTTTTATACAATATGTGTAGTGTTGGTTGGTTCTAATTCACCTGACGCGATTTTCAATTGAAATTAGTACAGTTTACAATCGCCATGCATGCGGTAGGTGCACTTTTGAACAAGTACAGAAAAGCTTACCTTTGGGATTGATTGATGAAAATAGATAATCACGTATAAAGCAACAGCTCGGTTATGTTTTCTTTCTGTTTGTCTGTGCTATGAGGAGATGGAGATATTGGAATGATGTGGTGAAAAAACAGTCTATTTTTATTAGTTGCAAGTTTGACACTAAGCATGTAATATGTTGATATAAGGTAAAAAAATTATAAATACATACAAATACGTAATAATCAGGTATAAATTAGTGCTTCTCCGGATAATAGAATATAAATTATAAAAATGAGCTCAAAAAGCATTACGTAATATTCAACAGTTTTTTTCAATGATCTTTAATAATAAAATTCAATAGTTGTTAACGTAAACAAGTTCGTAGCTTTATATTTTTATTTATCTGAAAAAGTCAAACTCTCTTTTGCACTTCTGTATGTTTCCTACAGAATTTGTTTATGTTAAAAAAAGACAGATTCTCAAAAAAGAGATCCTTTTAGGACATACATAAGCACTTTTTTATACCTTATACTTTATGTCCGCCTTAACTCTATATTTTGTTTTTTCGTTCATGTTCTATTATGAGTTCAATGAAATTGCTATTAATAATTTACATATATTTTTGTGCGATTTGCATCATTTTATGTGCCGGTAAATTATACAATACTGCAAAACCAAAAACGCAGTGATTACCTTATAAAAATGAATCCGCTAATAGTCAAATGCGTTTCTCTTCATAGTCGCATTCTCCCAGATTCATCAATTAATACGATGTTTTCTAAGTTCAAAGTTAGTTCGAACGCAACTGCGTCTTTTGTCCTCTTTGAAAACTTCGTAGATTTCCTCTTTACGTGATTCACTCCTAGAGATGGTGTGGTGTAAAGTCCGGTCACTGTAAGGTAGAACACCAAACGAACAAACACAGCTTAGTGTTCAAACTTAGAGTGGCCCAACTATACACACTTGCGCTTCGGCACAGGTGAGCTGGTAGCGTCAATGTTTTTTGTTTTGGTGGATAATGAAAATTGTTAAGTGAATGTTACAAATTGTGATATGAAAAACAAACAGACGATACATGGTATAAAACTATGCTACCTAAACAACGTAATTACTTAAAATGTAATTAAATGTAAAGTGAACCTATAATATTTTAATACGCGCACAAGCGCCTGGCGTTGTTTTAATTAAGTTTGCTATTAACGCAGCTAAAATGGAAGCTGAACATGAGTGTCAAGTATCATAACACACGGAACAATTGCATGTGTATCGTATATTTAGATCTGTTGATAAACAACGCAAAATCAATACCAACAATGAACCATTAT